AAAAAAAAACCCCAAACCAAAAAATGAAAAACACCAAAACTACTTGAAAAATAAAACTATTTAACATTTGCTTTGTTCTTTATTAATAACTAAAGAAACATAAAGAAAACATCTAAAATATGTGTTTTAACCTTTCAAACTAACCCATTAGGCTTTTCCTAGCTTCCAAAATCCTTGAGTTGAAATTTGTTCTAAAGCTCATATTTATTCATGCATGTAACAGCTTTCCTTTTCCAAATATTTATATAAGCCCCAGCATAAAGCATTTACTCTGGAACATGTGTATACTGTTCAAATCCACATCTTCTAGAGATAGATGTTGGCACTTAGTTACTGGAATAACAAAGAACAGCATTCATGGGGGTTTTATAAATTGTGAGGTTAAAAACAAATTTAGATAAGTACTAAATGTCACGTTATTCTATATAAATGACTATTATTTATGCTTATCTTCTTGCATTTAGAAAAAGGTTACATAGAAGAGAAGGAACTTGATGCCTTCTTTTACCACATGTTGATGAAATTGGGTACTGATGTAAGTACTTGCACCACTAAGCATTAATTTATGTGTCTCTTAGTGAATATAAGCGTTTGACTCTTATGTTGATTTGTACCTATTAATCCCATCTGACCTCTTTTCTTCCTTGCAGGCATGTAATTTTTCTCTCTCTCCTAGCAGCACGGAGGGATTTAGGCAGATTTTAAAAATGGTACAACTGCAGCATTAGATGTGCTAGTCACTGACTTTCAGTGTAACATCTGTCAACCACTCAGAGATCCTAACTAACTGTAGACTCAGTCAGCTCTGTTTTGAACGTCTCCCTGGTTATGCCTCTGCTAATCGATTTAAACCTGGAGATAAACCTCACTTTGTTCAAAAAGGTGGAAAAGATGTTAAGCATGTTAAGGTTCTGGGTGTTTAGTGCATATGTTACTCCTTTGATAGCAAACTACGAACAAACCATTTTAAATCATTTTCCATTATTCATTTTATTGGGAGAGGTTACAGATTTCTCAGGGAATGACAAACCAGAAAGTAATCAACATACCCAGAACCCAGAGATAAATGTAAACCAGTCTATCCAGTGTCCGTATCCTTCCTTGACGGTAAATCTGGCCTTGAGAGATGTAGATTAACTTTTAAAGATCCCTGTACCAAAGCAAAGGAAAAACTCACACAGAGACACATGAGCCGAGGCCACACTAGTGATGGGCTTAATCTGATGAAATCTCCATTAGGGCCTGCATGGTAGGGGAGTGGCTTTGGGGACAGTACATTAAAGAATTATGCAGGTAGCTTGTCTTCAGACTTCAATTGTTTACCTGGAGGAATATTGAAGTGCATTGCATTCTCATGTAGGATCCCAGTGAGGGAAACAACAGGATCCCCACACCAAGGAGAGCATGGGGAGGGTGTGGGGGCCAGGGAAGCAGCTCAGAAGAAAAGAAGCTGCCATTGGCCTCCATCAGCCACACAGACCTCTTGGTCTCTCTGTCTGTCTGTCTGTCATGTTCTGTCCCTCTTTTTATGTCTGTTTCTGTTATTTTTCTGCTTGTTTCTGTTCCTCGTCTCTGTATTTCATGGCTCTCATTTCCCAGTGTCTCTGGCCTTCCTCTCTGACTCTCATCTCTCTTTCCTCTCTCTGATTGCTATTTCTCCTCTATTTTTCCATCTCTCTGTCTCTTTGCTTTCCCTTCTCTCTCCAGTCTCTCTGTTTCTCAAAGCTCTCTTTGTCTTTTATTTATCTTCTCTCCCTTCCCTATCTCTCTGTCTCATCTCTCTTTTTGCCCTTCATTTATTTTATCTCTTCCCTCCCCTCAAGTCTTTCTCTCTTTACTGGTCTCTCATCTTGTTCTTTTTGTACCTTTTATCATTCTTTGTACGCCTGCCCCTGCTCCCCCCACACTTGGCCCATGCCCTGTGCAGCCTGTGAGGTGAAGGAAGTGCAGGTAAGAAGGATGGAGACACAGGGCCCTTTTCCCCTCACGTAAGACCATTCACACACCCTTCTCTTTATCCTTCATTTCTACACCTACACTGGCTACAAGCAGAGCTAAGGAAGCCTCCCCAACCCGAGGCTCCCACTTTAATCTTGCTGCCCAGTTTCACATGCCTGCAGTCCACAGTGAAACTCTCCAGCCTTGCCCACTTACATCTGTAAGTACTAAGGCTCATGGCATCCCAGGAACCCATGAGTCAGATGCCATTTCATCAACCATGGATGGAGTATTTGAGGAAAGCAAAAAGATAAAAGTTAAATCACTTGAAACCTTGGAAGAAACTGGATGGTCAACTCCTAAAAATCTAAATCCCTAGAGACTTGGAACTTCACATCTTTTCAGAAGGCTCATTGCTTTAGTGATTTACAGAAAAGGAGGAGAAAAATAGCTGTCAGTCTAGAAGCTGGAAGTGTCTTATTTCCAGTCATGGAAGGTGGGAGGCAGCTACTCAAATACAAAGGTGTGTTCTAGGCTGAGGATGCTGTGGGCTGTCTTCTTCTGAGCTTTTGGCTAACCTTAGAGGCATTGTTGCTATTAGTGAGAGCAAAGAGGGATGTCATCTCTTTCAGTATGGTTTTTCTTATCCCCACCCCTCCCTCAGATCTGGCCTGTGGACTAACCCTCTAACACAGGGGCAAGCATGGACCTTGAGGAAAGGAGACAACAAATGAGTCGCCAGAATCCTAGGCAACTGGGTTCAGTGCAGGTGTCCCTGTGGCTGGAAAAAGTTTAGAAGGTCTCAGAGTCCTCATACTAGTTTATATCAAATTTGGGTGTGCTTAATAATTATCTGAATTTATTAAAATGCAGACCCCTGGGTCCCATCCCATAGGTACAGTTGAGGTCTGCTAAAGACCTTGCATTTTAAAAGAACCCTGAGTCAATTTGCATCTCCATTCACCTTCTGTGCTTCCAGGACCAGTGACTGCCTGTGGAGGGGAGATTCCAGAATAATCAGGCCAGTTCTACAGAGCTGTGGCAGCAGCCCCAGGCATCTCTCCATTGCACGTGGCCAGTGAGAGAGCTTTTGGCACCAGGGTGATCAGATGTTTAAGCTGTTTACCAGAAATGGTATCATCTGCCACTGGTTCCCTTTCAAAATGTTGAGACATTACTCTGAAGAGTTGCAGGGATCTTTGCTGGGCACTCTATGCTGTCTGGACAACCATGATTAAGGAAACTGTTCCTAATTCTGAACTTTTTCCCTGATGAACAATGAGTAGGCCCTAAATAAGCCCTTAGTAATAGGGCAGGATTTCAAAAGCAGAAGCCCCTATAGCCAAGGACAGTCTCCATTCGTTTGTGACACCTACTTTTGATTGGTGATGCCAGAAGCAGTGTTTAGGAGTGGCAAGCGGAGGCCCAAATAGCTCTAATTTCCTCTGCTGATTAATGGGTTGCAGAGCATCAGAAGAAGGCATTTTGAGGTTTCTAACAGCAAGCTGCCTGCTAGTCAATCTTGGAGAGCAATCAGTCTGCTCGTAATGACTGCTCCTCACAGTCTCAGAGGGGATTGACTTAATGCAACCATCAGCTGCTATTGCTGCTGTTTCTATTGTGTTCCCCCAACACTTTTCTTTTCAAATACTGGGAATTGTGTGCTTGCTTTGGCAGCACATATACAAATACTGGGAATTGGCCTCTAAACCAGGTCTAGATCTAGCCGGTCCATTGCCACATTAGTTTCTTATGTGTACACATCCCTCAGGTTCAGATTACACATATCCTGAGCCTCTTGCAATGCTGCAGGGTGTAGGGTCTCAGATAAGGACTGGTGGGGAATTGTGATGGAGGGAGACTTGGGCTCTTTTGTGTTAGGTCCAAGAGGTAATCATAGGGCTTTGGGATTAGGGGTCTGAGAGAACAGAAGTCAAGGCTCTGTGCCTTCAAACAAAAGGTGGCATGTAGAATCTGGCTCCAGCTTCTTTGACTTCACATTTACTTTGAAATCTAATTTTCTACCAACATGGCTTATGCTAGTTAACTTCTTTTGGGAATGCCCAGCCCACCATAAAGAACCATCTGTTCATTCAACGGATCCTATGTTTCAGAGACAAAGCAATGATTACTGTCCTGGCAGAGTTCTTAATCTAAAAAGTCAAGCTGAAATTTGAAGTGAAGACCCACCCTGCTGAGTGGTTTCCATCATGCTTGTCCTGTATGGTGGGTACCTGTGCTCCCAAACGTGGGCACACACAGTCTATGGTGCTGAGACAAGACAGGCTTATCTCTCTATGTATAGTGGGGTGTCACATGATGAAACTTGGTTGGCAGGAGATCTTGGAGTCTCAGGGTACCTGTTCACCTTTCACAGACAAAAAAAAAAAATGTAGATCTTTAAGTCCCACTCCAGAGAAGCTTCATGGTGTCAGAGAAGCACAGCTATATAAGTATGTGGAGACAGAAATCTGATGCTTATGTCCTAGCTCTGCACTGATAGCTGTGTGATATCAACATACCATTTAAACTCCCTGGTTCTCCATTTTCTTATCCATAAAATGTGAATAATAATTTTTTGCCCTGCCTATCTCATAGTGAAGACCAATGAGACAACAGAAGTGAAAAGCTTTTTAGTTGCAAAAGCACCCACTGTATACATGATCTTGTGGTGACATGGTGTCTTCTTTAGTCCTTGGTTTTCCCAGTGTCTATTCTGGACCCCCTTCGTCTCAGGTCTGCAAGGGGTTACCCCACACAGGGTAATTGAAGCTCATGCTCTTAAACACTGAGAAGCTTTCAAGATCTAAAGAAGTTCATCTGCCAGTGGGATTCTTGATTTGTGAGAGCAAGTTTTCTAAGCCACACTAGCCTTTGGGGCATGCCTTAAATCACTCTCACTATCGCCTTCTGATCCCTCATGAGCGAAGGAGGTAACCCAGGGAGAGAGTAGATAATAGACATGACCTCAGGGATCACACGACATTTGCTCAGCCTTAGACAAATGATTCAGGCATTATTTTCCATTTCTTCACTTGAGATTTTGGTTCTAAATCAACAATGTCTTTTTTTTTTCATATTTTTAATTTGTTGTGTGTTCATTTAGGAAAGTATTCATTTTTTCAACTAGGCCCTTGACTATTTTCCATTTTTAATCATCAAATGAATATATTTGGTTGATGTATTTACAGAATCAATCTGCCCAAGTCCTCTTATTTTAATCATTTTGGGTTTCTGAGTACAGGACCTGAGCCATAGATATAGCAGATGGCCTTGGTATGGCTATAATACACAAATCCATTTGATTGATACATTATCTCAATCATAAGTACTAGTGATTTAGATTTACCTTTTAAAAAAAACACAGCTATGCATAAATATGCTATTTTTAGTTCTTATTCAGAAAACTTAGTTGTTTGTAAAGAGACTCACCTTTGCTGCAATTTGTCCCAAATGAAGTTGGTTCCTCACTATCTAGTATCCAGTTGGGGACTATACAAGCCGTTAGTTCATTATACTCTTTCTGTTGCATGTACTTCATCCATTTATCATATTCTGCTTCCTTTCAGCAAAAGGTGAGGAGTAGAAAAAAAGGAGGTAACAGTTCCATTTTTATACTTGCAGGCAAAAGTTTGCATATGGTTGGGCAAGGGAGAGGCAGACTGTTGACTGACATAAAACTTTGTGGCTCCTTATATTTTTGGTGTCCACCCAATCCTGGAAGTATGGAAAATCAGGTGATATTAGGGAATCCAATAGTTTAAACCATCCAAGCTCAGAGCATTTTTTCTGCCTCACTATCATAACCCACCATCAAACATTTGCTGTTTACCCATATCCTTTAATTAGTTAGTGAGATAAGACACCAACGTTAGGGGTCAAGATCTTACAATAAGGCCCTGGGATGTCTCTAGCATAAAGCTGTTCTTTTTGACCACGTTGTTCCCTGGCTCTCCAAGAATTGGCTTTCAAATCTTCATGGCTTCATAATATTTAAAGCATTATGTTATCTAACCAATTGCCTTAACCTATCCTGAATAAATCCCGAAGAAAGTTACCAAGTCCTCTTTGCATTTTCTTTGAACAATTTCTCATTTACACATCACTTAGCATTGAGCTCTCTACTACATGCTGACTGCCTTACCTGCAGCAACAGCAAGATGTGGTGCACTGGACCAGATATCAGAAGTGTTGGTTCCAGGCTTGTTCTTGCCAATATCCAGCTGCATGGCAATTCATCCTTTTGTCCTGTTTCCTCATCAGTAAATTGAAAGAGTGTCTCAGACCCTTAGAAAAGGGTGCCTAATATTTTCTGATTCTTTTACCCACTCTCTGGCTCCCAAATCACCAAGACTCATCTGAAGGAAGCATATACCTCGATTTATAGTACAGCAGTAGATGAAATTATCATGAATTCAAGTATTCCTCTTTTCATATGCCAAGATCTAGAAAATAATGAGTTTGTGTAACTCTCCTACTAGATTTTCCACTCCCTGGGAAACACTCACATATGCAAACGGCCAACTGAAGAGATGACTTCCTTAGGAGAAAAGGGCATTGGTGGGAAAATGGTAAAAGAGAACTTCTATGTAAAAAGCTGGAACATATAGATCAAAAAAATTACCTAAACAGGAAAAGGCTAGTAGATCAGAAAAGAAGCCAGGGGCTGAAGGGTGTAGTGAGTGTTTTTCTATCTCCCGGAGCCATTGTGAGGATTCAGTGGGGTCACATTTGTGAAAGAGCCTGGGTTAGTGCTCATTCCCTGGCTGGCACTACAGAAATGTTCATTTTCCTGCCCTTCCTCCCTCTTCTTGTGAATGAGATGTAGGGTGCTGTTAATTCTCCACCACACTTCCCTTCCCACCGTCTCCTCATTTTTGTGGAAGCCCATTAAGGAGAGGCCCCAGTGGAAAGGAAGGCAGACAAAGATGTCTCCCACCAGCCTGCCATAGAGGTCAAGGACCAGGTCTGTTTTGCTGACCATCATGTCACTGGGAGCCAGAATTGCATTTGGCACATGGTAGATGATCAATAGAAAACGGTCTACCCTTGGTTTTATACCTGGGGGTAACATGTCATGCTGGGCTAAAGTGTTTTAGGACATTTTGTCCTAGGAAGGACTGGAACAGAGCCTGGTTGTTCCAGCAAGTTCTTCTTTACTTAAGGATGGTGCATTCCCAGCACATTATACGGTTATTCTTGAGAACTACAAATGAGAAAGGAGGAAGAACTGAGTTAGTCCAAGGCCACCCAGAGAACATGTGTCCATGAATGATGCATCTGGAGACTCTCCTGGAAGCTCAGCATCACCCCTGTCCCCTGACACCAGCAGGGAGAGTAGTCAGTCAACAGAGTCACTTCTCAGCCCTTCTCTTCAGCCTTGGCTCGAGACCAGACATAGGGTAATAGCATTAGGGAGAATGAATTTAGCATGAATTCCAGCAAGTCTGGAATCTTGAAATCAGGCACTGCTTAGGATTATCTATGCATCTCATCTCCTGCTTTATAATTCATTCTTCATTGTTGGTTATATACATCACCTTTCTTGTAATAACCCTGAAATCCATTAAAGAAGACATGTTAATGTGTAGAGAAGGTTGTACAAAGAAGTGAGACATGACATTTTTGGTAACTCAACAATTACTTCATTACTTTGATTTCTTCTTTTTTGTTCTCCCTTCTAATTATTATTTTTTTCCTCAGAGGACAAGGAGAGGATTAAGAGAATGGGCTACAGCAACTTGGAGGCCCAGAACAGCTGGACTTTTCAGTTAAAAATTTAAAACCTCTGTATTCTTGGGAAGAACATCTGTATATTAATTACAATGTAGTCTTTTGTCATAACCAAATACATAATAATGTTCAAACTCGTTCTTTTAGCACTCTAGTCTCTGAGCTTCTTTTCACCATGTTTTAGTAACTCACTAACTATAAATTTTACCTAGCCAAGATTCTGATTAGTGGTTGGTTGCTCAAGAAGTCTCCATCTCTGGTGTCTTATATACAAAAGGGTAAGATCACTATAAATGTCCAAGGAACCTGCTTTCCAGGTTAGAATACCATTATTATCAGGCTGTGTGCTTTGAATATTTGCTATCCTAACTATATTTTTGAAATCCCAGTGGCTTTAATGTGGTTATATTTGGCCCATTGCAGGATGCAGTCATGAAAGAAAATGTGCACAAGATGAAACAGCAATTTATGACTACCCAAGATGTCTCTGAAGATGGTCGCATACAGATGAAGGAGGTAACTTTCAGGACTGTATGTTTGTTGGCTGTACAAACATCTTTCCTAAGTGTTTCTTTCTTGACTTTACCTTCTTAGGCTGTGATTTCCTTTGAAAGACAATGGAAATCTTACATGCAATTGGGAAATTAGAACTTTGTGCAAGGTAGTTGGCCTAGATAATATTTTCAAAGTAATCACCTCTCCTTTTTCATCTGCTTAGTAACAAAGGATGTGCAATTCTTTCATCATTTTATTTAGATCAATCAATATTATTTTTAATTTTTTTTGGTCTTTTTGTCTTTTTTTCCCTGTCCGGCAATGGATTGCAACCCTCAGTGTTGCCCCCGTACCGGACCGGGGACCGGCAACG